ACATATATATATATATATATATATATATATATTACTAGGCTAAGACACAACCCCCATTAAGCACGTATAAAATTTTACCAGTAGAAAAGCATCCTTTTCAAATAAAACGTATATGTCTAAAACATTGCTTTAAATAAACCTTTGTGTCTTATAAGGTATTTAATGAATGTGAGTAATGAAATTTAATATTCTGTGTATTGATTTTTTTTCTTTTTTACTCCTTCACTTCATACATAATAGAGGGGTTGGCTCCATAAAGACACCCTGTACATAAGTTTTTTAAGGGAACACCAGATATTTGTAAGAAAGCTAACTTCTAGGGGTAATGATAACCTTATTTACATTAGAATTATGATGTTTTTTAGCTTATGTAAAATATAGAAGAAACAAATAAACTTTCAATACTTCTATGACTTTTGCAGTACCTCATTTAGTATTCTACAGAAGGTTTGGGTGCAATATACCAAGCCATTTTTATTTGTAGGCTGACAATAGAATATAGTAAGAAGAATTAGAAAGGGCTGTTTTGTAACGGGAGTTTCTTTTCCTTGCAAGTCTAACGTGTGTGTGTGTTTTTTTGCCTTTCTATATATGTACAGCATTAGTGGTCAAAAGTAAAGGTTTTAAAGAGTTGTTTGAACTCACTATTTACTGTTTACATGCCTGAACATTCTATTAGGGTTTTGTGCAAATCTTTGCAATCCCTATTATTAACCACTATCATGGTTCATGATGAATATCAAATGGTTTTAAAACTTTTTACATATATTAAATGAAACTTTCTAATTAACAGTAAAAAGAAGTTCAATAGAGAGTTATTTTTATTGTGCACCCAATGATTGCAAGCACAGTGAAACTGCTTGTGATGTTTTTTGAATCAAAAGACAGATAAAATTTACAATTTCATAAGAGTAAAAACTCTTTTGGAAAGTTTTAGGAGTGAGAGAAAATATTAAAATCATTATTTAGCATCTTCAACAAAGTAAGCATTTTAACTTTTTTTTTAAACATAGCACAAAGAAATCTTTTAGAATTTTTGAAGTTTTAAATTCCTACAAATATTGCATATAATAATAGTTTATTATGCTTATCCATTTCAACTTGATATTTGGTGAGGGGGGTCTACCAAATTCAATGAGAAATATTTGGTTCTGCCATTTCCTCATGCGAACTTATGAGGTTATATGCACCAGACAAAGAGACTGCTTTATATACATGTGTGTGTGTATATATAATATAGATTGTTTTACTACATAAATATTATCACAAGATCATTGTGTTCAGCTACCGGATACTATTGAATGTAGTTTGATTAAATAGATCTGACCCATTAATACATTTTTCATAATAATGATATTTTTTATTCTTCCTTCAATTTTGTTTCAATTTACTTCATTGCAATGAATTGTCAGAACCTTGTAACTTGCAACATTTTTAAAACTGAGAAAACTAAGCAAATGGGTTTAGAATGAAACCGTGAAAAAGGACCACAAACTATAGCTTTATATAATGAAAAGAAACTCGGTGATATATTGTTTGAACACTTAAGAAAGGTACAGTTTAACAAACTTTATAAAGTATTTTGCTGTCACTGGAAGTTTATAGTGTTGTAAGGTGATGAAACATTAAAAAAAACTTGCAAATGGGCAGATTGTATAATTTAATAAAATGAAATGTTGAATGAAGTTAAAATATCCTCCCAGAAAATTCAAGATATTTATAGAATTAGAATCAATAATAGAACTGTTTGGATTTGATTGTAAAGAAAGTGATCTGCATGAAAAAGTTGCAGCTGGAAATCGTAATGTTTCATGTGTGAGCATGGTCAAGCATTTAGTGTTTGCCTAAGACCACAAAAGTTGAAGAAATGAATAGAATAATGTGCTTTGGACTGATAAGACAAAGACTGAACTTTTTTGACTCTGAAAGAGTTTTTATGATGATATATATATATATATGTCTCAATAAATGGCCATGATTGTAAGATAAAAATTTGGTAAATTGCCTAAAACAAATGGAGTTATAGTGCTTTTAACAGGTGAATAAGCCCCATTTAGGAGTAAAGGAAGAATAATATTAACTATTATTATAAATAAAGAGCAATATTACAAAATCATGGGCCATCATGCACTACCCAGTGAACAACATTTAATTGGCTCTGATTTTAAATTTAAGAAAGATGATGATGCATAGTATACTCTCTGGCTGAATGAGAAATATTTGAATCCAGTAGGAGGAAATATCTGATGATTTGGAAAGGTATGAAGTGGCCAGTCAAAAATCCTCCTACTAATTAGGTTTAAAATTTGTGGAATCAGTGGAAAAGTAGTTTCACTAAGGGTAGCCAACAAAAAACAAAGACAACTTTGGGAGATTGTACAAGAAAAACAGAAGGAAATATTGCTTTGTAATCTCAAAATCTGATACTCTAGTTAATTGATTTCATAATATAGTTCAGATAGTGATTATTCTATTTGATATGTTCCAGAAGGAACTTTTTGTACCTAGATATTTGTGTTATGAAATATTACATTATTAATATTAATGAAATATTTAGCATGACTTCTTTAAATTTTTGAAAGCTATTTTAATATATAACATTTCAAGCATGATTTCTTTATTATTTATTATAATTTGACTTCCATGTTTTATCAAATTTTTAATCAGACCTGTTTCTGACTTGAAGACAGTTCATCCGTTCAGAAGTTTTAATTAATCAGTTAGCACATTTTGTGCTTTAAGTACCTGTTGAAAAAATTTTGTTAGCATATTTAAAAAATATTTTATAACAAGATACATTATTAATAAGTATTTTAGGCATTTAGACAAAAATATATTGCTACAAAAACAATCTGCTTATGATATAACATATTTCAGTGCAGTTTTTAACTTTTCAGTTTTGTTGTGTTTAGGAAAGAATGTGGGCTTGAAAGGTTTGTTCCTTTATCTTTGTTGGAGTCAATGAAAAGAAAGGAGTTAAGAAAGTTGTTGAGCCACTTTATGAAACAGAACCAGTCTTTAACTGCCCCAGGACAGAAGCAGCTGACTGCACTACAGGCTAAGCTCCATTACCTCAAAATAATCAGTGAACTACCGAGCTATGGAGCCAGGTGGTTTGCCTCTAGTTTTAAGGTGAAATATCAGACTACAAATATTGTGTTAAATAATTGTGTTTATGCTGTACATGTACTGCAAAGTTATTTAATATTTTGTACTTACTTAATAAGTAAAATAGTTCTTAATTAACCAGTAATGCATTTTCATCAACAAAACATTTAATGTAACTTTATACCTATAACATACAATAAACTGTTTTATGATCACATGACTTAAAAGATTTTAAACAAGTACAGTTAATGTAATATTTGCCATGATATCTGTAAATTCTTAAAAGCTGTATTACCTGTAATATATAACATTTTAGGCATGATTTATTTATTTACAAAATTTTTTAAATTTCACTTCAGTTCTTGTTGTTTTTAATAGGATTCTACGATGGAGACAGCTCTTCTGATTAGCCCCAAGTTTGGAATTAGTCAGATCAGCAGCTTGAATAACACATCAGTCAGTATTTTGTCATATCTGTACTTTAATGTTGGCTCACTCTGTTGGACTACTTAATGTTATTATGTGTGTTACTTTGATAGCAAATTTTATCATAATCAGAAGAATTAATTTTTTGTGGAATTATGTTGACATATAAGTTACCAACCTAAAACAACATATTATTATCCTGTTATTTCATTGTAAAAGCTTGATTACTTTAACTGAATCATTTTGCTAATATTATACTATTTATAAGAACTTACAAGTGAAATGAAGAAGCATGTTAACCACACTACATCTGCTGTATCCAGTGCTCATCAGGCTAGCTGGAATATGACAGATCTAGTAATAGGCAATACACTGTATATATCATTAATTACTTGAACAACAACTATTTTGTTGTGAATCAGGTTAAGTTTGTTAATTGCCAATAATTTATTTTTACTGTGCCAGAAGTATCCAAACACCCTATGAATTTGTAACATTGCCAATTGAGCATACTCTGCAAGAGAAGTAGGTGAATTTACTTACACTGGCACACAAGTGTGTTGCTTAGTAATGTTAAAGTGTGTACAAATCTGAGAGAGGAGAAATTATAGTGGAAAATCAAAAAATTATACTGACATGATGCTTGATCAGTCATGATCTTGATGCTACTCAACATTTAAAATTTCCAACTTTGGTAAAAAAGCTTATTTGCTAGCATTGTGAAAAAACAGTGCTAGAGACTTTTCAGCAAATTCATAGTGACTTTTCAACTAGCACATCTGATGTGGCTACCTGTGATTAGGCACCATCTACTAGGTGTGAATCATTTCTCTAAGGCAACAATAGAGTTATTTGGTCAGCAGTTGCCTGCTAAAAAAGCACAAAGATTAATGAAAGTAACATCTTGAAATGGCCAGAGCCCAGACCTTATACCCATGGAACAACAACCATATGGAAGAATTAATTTAAAAGTTTAACAATAATAATAACGTTCAACAACCAGTCAAAGTTACCAAACGTTTGTGTTGTCAAACAACAATAATAAAAACATTCATCAACCAGTCAAAGTTAGCAAAATTTCTATTTCCAACAATAATAATAAAAACATTCACCAACTGATAACAGTATCATAAGAAAGTAAAGAAGTTAACAATTACAAATCTTGTATGCTTTCCAGCAGATATTTCTACAGTAACATTGACCACAATTTGGTAATATATTAGTGCAACAATTTGGTAAAAAATTAACATGATTCTGATTCAAATAACTGCCTTAAATAATTATACAAACAATCTTTAAACTAGCTTGTCACTTTATATATTCAATAACATTTTTTGTGATTTAAAGTATGAAGCTAGGTCAAACTCTAAGATATTTTTTTTATTATTCATTAGTCAAGTAACTCTGGTATATTTCATTCTTGTTAAATCTGTGTGTACACACATGCAAACAGGGGTGAAATTCTGCTTATACTCACTGTTACTGAGTGCTGGAACTTATTTTTTAAGGTGGTACTAGTACCAGGACTTATTTGAGCTGCTTTTTCAGATGCACATGTTCCATTAGAAAGCATTTGTTCATTGTCACTCTAATTGTAGTTTTTATGTTTAGACATAGATTTTTTATTTTATTTTTTCGAAAACTGGTTCACTTCACCCAGCTGAGTACTTATACTTTGTTTTGAGAATTTCACCCTTGCATGCAAGCATATTACATATAAGTGACTTAATTAAAGACAATGTGCATGATATTCGTTATCAAAAATTATTTTTATTTTGTGTTATTGGTGGAAAAAACAGCACAAAAGTTTAAATTTGTAATTACTTGTGATGTTTAAAATCAATAATTTCAACAACCAAATGCTCAAGATTTATTCATTGAGATTTTATTTATTTATGCATAATTTAATACTCTGCAACTTGCATTTATCTATCTGTGATGCTTATTGGATTAGTGTGATGGTAATAGTATGGCTATTAGTATATACTGAATTAATGTTGATGCAATATTCCAGCAACCTGTAACACTTGCCCAGATTGAAGAAGTTTCATCTCTAACATTAAAGAAAGAAGATGAAATGTCATATAATGTTGAGATTCAGTTCAAGAAACCAGATATTGGGGTGAGTTACTTACTGATTTACTATGTCACTGAAAATGTTTGCTATGTTTAGAATTCTAATGCCAGCTGTTGTTTCTTTGGGTATTAAAACTAATATTTAAGACTTTAAATATTTAACAGAAGTAGAAAAAAAAACATATTTGTAAGACATGATTAAAATCAAAATTTAAACAAATAAGTGATACATCTATGTTTAACTGATTTTAAAAATCTCATGAAATGGATGAGGTGTGGATATGGGGCAAGATAGATACTTGTGGGTACGTTAATGTTATTAAAGTATTGTGGAGTGTGTGCAGTGTTGTGTAGGGTTAGATATTTGTGAGTATCTTTAGTTCAAGTAGAAGTAACTAAACAAACCAGAACTCTGCATAAGTTAGTAATATTGATATCACTCCTCCAATGCTAGGCCCTTAACTTCAGCTTGGAAGATAAGGATACAGATGAACTAGCCCTGTTGTTGCAAGGTTACCATCATCTTCTAGCAGGCTGTGACTTCCCTGTACACTGGGATACTGGAGCTTCATGGAAGTCTGAGATAGGTGGAAAATTTTTTAATCTAACACTTAACTTTTCTCTGAATGCATCTTGCAGGTTAGATGAATATAATTCTGAAACAAGAGACTTTGTGCATGTACTAGTCAAATATTCTTATAAGTTATAGCATTGCATAAAGTTTAAAAACACTGATTTTTCTCTTGTACATTATATAGTTATGTAGAAAATATAGTGAAGAATATTAATTTTGTTTGTTTGTTTGTTCCATTTTATTAGATTAAAACACACTTTAAAGTTATGATATAACCTAAATATTTGAAATGCAACAGTATAAGATTTTTAAATTTATATTAAACTGCTTTTAAGATGTTTTTTCGTTTCATATGTCTTTAACTACTTTACTTGCTGTCAAAGTGTCATCACATGTAAATTTCCCTTAATAAAATGTTTTTTTTTATTATGCCTTATTTTTTTGAAATGTCAATAGAAAGCATGGATTTGGCAGGTAACATTTCTTAATTCGTTGATCTTTTTTTTTTAGGAATTATTAATAATTCCTTAAACTTTAATAAATCATCCATATGGGTATCATCACGAAGGATCTGAAAGAGATCATTTTCATTACTGAATTTGACAATTTGGGCTTTGGTAACAGCTAGCTAGCAAAGTAGTTGTAGTATGGGTGATTTCATCAATAATACTTTGAATTAGCAATAAAATTTATGTTTAAATTATTTGGGAAAATGTATTAATTTAAAGTTTTTCTTGATCTTAATATTAAGATGTCATACCTGTTTCAGGCAAATATAGTGATAGAGAAGGTTGAAAAACTTGTGTAACAAAGTACAAAATGCTATAAAAAATATACTTGATTTTCTTGCCCCCTTCCTATCCCATGAAACACACAAAAAAAATGAGAAAAATTTTAGGATCTTACAGTGAACACAATCAATACAATGCCATTGGCAGTTCAATGATTTTGAGAATGGTACTACTCATTGAACTCTGTGTGGCAAATATTTATGTTTTGTGTTCACATGGTATTGTTTTTATCCACTTAAAATTTTTATTTTTTTTAGTTTCTGTACAATTAAATGCACTCTTTTTGTGTTAGCCCCCCTCTATCATGGAAGACACGCTGTTCAAGAAGCTCCATGGAGTTATCTTCCCTCATCACACAAGGACCAAGTTGATGAAGTTAGGACAAGGATAGTTGATTTGGCTGTAATACCTCCATCCTACTTTCCATGTGAGGTAAGATTTAATTTATGTTGATCTTTCACTGTAGTATCCATTATCCAGTTAACCCTCTGGATATGAGAAGATAAAAGTGTGCATGTTGAAATCTTTTAACAGAATTAAAATCAAATTTTAATATTATAAGTTATAAATTCTTAATTTCAAAAGGAAATATTTAAATAAATTCTCAAAATTCACTTCTGTGTATTATGTGACATTTGTTCACTAAGAATTACTCATTTAAACGTCCTTTCCACTCCTGTTTGAACTTCTGACTTTTAATACATATTACATAGTTATAGTATAGATATTGCAGAAACATGGTCTAAACTTACATCCTCCAGTCATTTTGATTTACAAAGATATAAACCAGGAAGTCCGGCCCATATGCCACACCCTCCTATCATGTACCGTCTGTCAAAAAATGTCAGTAATTTTCTATGACGTTTGCTATTACATTATTTATAACCATTGAAAAGAGAAGATTTTAATTTAGTGAATAATATAATGCTACCTTGTTCTGAGTATTATTCAGCTTACAGATTTAAAGCTGATGTTGTAAAGTTCACCTTGAATGTGATAAAGGAATTATTTTAACAAACTTTTAGCTTAGTGAAAAAGCCGAATTAATTATAATAATTATAAAACATTGTATTCTTTGTGAGTTTAATTTTTATTTGCTAAACTGAATATTTGAAATAGATAGAAATTAAGTAGAGTACTATCAACAACCATCAAACTAGGGTTGACTTTTAAGGAGACTTCAAGTGTAAAATATTGTAAGAGCCACACATAAGTACTACATTTGGTATTTTTTTATCTATATATTTCACTTGTTGTTTTTAAAAATAACTAAAATATAAAAATTAGAAACTTGTTAGTTAAGAAAAGTAAATTATTTTTTTTAAATTGTCTCAGAAAGATATACATGTGAGCTGCTCTTGCATTGTGTAATTCAATTTTTTGTTTACTGTAATTTGGGATATCCCAAATGCTTTTTGGGTGCTATTACCACAAGCTTTATCCACTTATGACTATGTATGACTGACTGGAAACAAAAGTAGATGCATCAAATGATTATATGTCACATGATCTGAAATACAAATGCTTTGTCATTCAGACTGTGTTAGTTATAGTAGTTTCAGACATTCTTATCTCATTTGTTAGTTTATAGTGTCCTAAGTTGTTTATGAATTATGGCTAGACCTCAAAAAATATTTTAATTTTTCACTCACATAGAAAGTTATTGGAAAATTTGAGGCCGATAAAACACAGCACGCTCTTGTGAAGTGGCTGCATGTATAATTATCAGGTTATGAAACTGCTTTCCAACCAATTGCTTGGACACCTGGACAAAGTTGGTCATAATCCACAGCACAAGCAAATGACCACAATTGTGTTTTGGTTTATTTGCTTTAAGACTGAATAGATGTATTGCAAATGCAATTACATGTTTTATTAGTGTACACATGACTAAAAATGAACTTCATAAGGTAGGTATGTATGCCAGGTGCTCATGTCAAAAAATATCCCTGCCTCGTTATATCCAACAGGCTCCCGCCATGGTATTTTATATGATCTTCCTAAAATTCACAAAGTGAGCACTCCCCCTCCAACCAATTCTTTCAGCCTTAGGCACACATACTTGCAAACTTGCAAAATTCCTGATACCTATAATACAGCCACTCACTACCAATGAATTCACTATTTCTGATTCTTTCCAGTTTGCACGTGAATTAAGTCAACTAGCCCCCTTCAAAAACCACTTTATGGCCAGCTTTGACATTACTCCTATTTACTAATATACCTCTAAATGAAATCATTGATATTTGTATATCTGAATTTTCACACAGTAATATCTCACTAAATGGCTTTTCAGTAACTCAAATTAAGGCTATTTTGGACTTTATAGCCTACAAATATGTTATATTTAGAGGCTTGAAAATACATTACACTGAAGTTTACTTTCCTGATACACAGTCTACTTTAGAAAAAGTTTTTTGGCAGATATTCTGTACTCTTAATACTCTATGATATGTTTTGAAATGTATAAACATTCTATTTTCAACCACACCTCAATACTAATGTGTTTTATGTACTCCTTAGGCAATTTTGAATTATCTTTTGTTTATATGCAGGTCTGTTGAGTCCAACTAACTAACACATGGTATTAAGAAATACTTAAACATGCTGCAATCTTTAAGATATTTCTTAAAATATTTTAAAAAAATATTGTTTGCAATAGCTTATTCTGGAAGCGTGTTAGGTAGACTTCGTTAGCATAGTAGTTACTGATTATAATTTGGTTTTATTTTACTATAGCTGCCCCCTGACCGACAAATACAGAGGATCTCATCTAGAGAACAGTTTGTTACTATGATAAACAGAACAGCATCAGTTGACCACAACATGAATGAAACCCTTAGAAGTTCAGAAATGAAAAATGATGAAGGCGAAACAAGAGACAGTGAAGGTCGATTTAATTTTGAAAGTGTTGTATCATTACAGCTGTTAGAAGATGAAAGTGATGATATTGACTTAACTTTATTTGAAGCAAGAAATGAGGAAATTATTCAGAGGGAATATGATATGGCCAATATGGTTCATAATGGTAAAAATGATCAAACAGAAGATTTTCCACATGAAGAGAATCAATTTCAGATGATTCAAAGTAATAAAAGGAAAACTGGTCACTTAAAGGCTGTGGATTCCCTGCTATGTTTAAGCAAGTTTGATAGCCAAAGAGAAGAAACCTACCTTAATGTTTCACCCAAGAGCTTCAAAGAGAGACTTCCTGATTTAGTTGCTCATTCAGAAAGTGAATCTGATAGTCAGAGCACCCCTGGAAACAGCCCATTACATCTTTATCCTCATATACAAAATTCCACTGAGGGTCACAGTCAATCCCAAAGGACGGGGTCAAGTTTTGGCCTACACAGTCCTGACATGGATGGAGAAAGCAATAAACTGATTTCTATGCTTTCCCAGCTACAGTCCTCTAGTGAAAACCCTTTACCCTTTGCTGAAAGAACATTTTACCTAGACCCAGACATCATTGATCTAACTATGATCCTACCACCTGTCACAACAGAGCAGGACTTGCATCAGATTGATTCTTCTAATCACTTGAACAATCCTCCTACACCATTCGTTAACAATTGCTTTTCTGTGTCTATGGTTGCAACTGATGAAAATGTTGATGTTTTGCAAGATACAGGTATTTCATTATGCATTTCTTTGTCTGTTAAAGTTTAACTTTTTTTTTGTGTGTGCTCATCTAATGCTTTGAGAAACTAGTCCTGTAAGTATTAAACTTACAACATTGTTAATCAAAAATCCAGTTTTTCAAAACCAGTAGCTAGTTTTCCATTAACCCTTTTGAGATGGGTTATGAGTGAAAAGCTATGTCATCTCGTTTGTTGACTTGCATTTATATTTTGAACGAATTAGAAACTTAAATTACTAATATTGACAAGCTAGAATATAAAATAAGAGCCTCTTATCTTTTCAATTTGCTATGATATTGCTCATGTAATAAATCAAACACAGTGGCACCCCACCTCTTTCCATTTTTTGGAAGTGCTCCCTTATATACACTTACTTCTATATATGACATGAATAACCAATTGGAAGCTCAGAATGTCCCCCTAGTGGCTTTCTCAGCCATTTTAATGGAGTTGGTGCCATTTCAATGAAATAGGGTGTGTCTTTAGTCTGCTCGAAATTTCATATTTTTTTTAGACTAAAATACATCTTAGTTACTAAGCTTGATAAGTTATAGTGGAATTCTATGGTTTCTATATAGAAATGTATGATTTTTTAGTTATTCAAATGTATATATAAAACCTCAAAAAAAATTTTGTTTCATATCCTCCACGTGCAAAATTTTTAAAGGCTTAGCAAACAAGTACAAAGGTCATAACGAGAAGAGGTAATTGTTTGCTTTACTTCTTTATTTACTGTTCTATGTTTAGGAAAAATATGTTTAAGAGCTTGTTTCAAAATAGCAATAATCTATAAACATATTATAATGTATAATAATTGAAATGTGACTACTAAAACACAGCCAAGACATGTTACTTTGCACAGACCAAAGGTCTGTTTTATGTTATTTGATACGGTAACATAAGTGCACGTGAGCCGCGTGATTGTAACTTGTATTGTTAGCCAGGCACGGCTGAAAGGTCAATATGATAAAAATAATAAATATATATAAATGTATAGTGTTATAAGATTTAAGCTATTTAGTCTAAACAATTATGTTTTCATGCTATAGTTTGTGTTCATTCTAGAATGAAAGAGGCATGATTTATATTTTTCTTAATTTCTTATGATGGTTGCAAGATCGGCCAAATCTACTGAACCCGAACAGAGATTAATTACTGAAAATAACAGATAAAATATCAAGTTTTTTCTTAAGAAACGTTTGATAACTATCTAGACATTATAAAGATTTGGAATGTGAAATTTCAAAATTTTCTGATGCATAAAAGTATTTTTAATCTTAAAATTAATGTTACTTTGCATAATAGATAAGCAAAATCTGAAATGAAAAAAAGACATGAGAAAAACATTGCTTTGCAAACTTTAAGACTTAATAATAAAAAAAAATAGATATTTTGCTTATAAAAGCATTCTAATGTTTACTGATAATCTACCAAATTTCGTTAAGATTCGCTTACTAATTTAAAAGTTATAGCATGAAAACTATAACAAGCACAAAATGGTTACGAGGTCGGGCCCAACTGTAAACCCAATATCTCACAAGATTCACCAGCCTAGGAGGCTTAGGTTAGCTCAAAATCCAAGTATTAAGCTAATAGCAAAGAATAATCATTGTGATAAAATAATAAACATAAAACTAACTTAGAAATATTAAAAAATAAGAGAAAATATATTTAATATTCTAATCAATACTGTGTCTGTATTGTGGTAAAAGTTTCACTTGTTTAGGCCAATATCCATGTAAGAACTACCACATCATGATAAAAATTTATAATAATCACTTCTCCTAAAATTTGCTAAGACTGAGAGAGCTACCACTATTGGAACGGCATAATATGACTAATTACTAATAACTTCTGAGTAAAAGTAAAGTATATAGTATGTCAACCACAATATATATGCTATATCCAGTGCCAATGAGGCCTTTTACCCAATACCAGGGCTCATCAGGCTGGCTGGAATACAACAGACATAGTAGTGATTGAAATGCTATTTACATTAGCAAATTGCTTGAGAACAACTGTTAAGTGTGAAATGGATAAGTATGTTAAGTACACATTGCTTAATACAGAGGGTTAACTGTACTTGATATGACAGAATAATAGTATGTCACTGCAGATGTGAACTACTGTGCTATGGGTGATGTGTATAGCACCTGTATACGCTGTATTTGATTCACTCTCAACCATTCAAAAGTGTGATATTACCATAGATAGACTTGCAATTGAAGGGGTGTGACACACACACACACTCCTTTGCAATAGAAAAATTTACAATGAGGATGTTAAACAATATTGTGCCAAAGGACACACATTTCAAAGAAGTGAGCCTTCAGTACTCCCCATAGAAGTGAAAACCTCACACAGCAGAACATTTAATACAGCTACAGATTCCAAACCACACTCCAGCCCAATCTATTGCAACACCCTCATACTCAAAGGAAGACTATGGTAGCAAGAAAAAAGAAAAACTTCTAATCCAAAAAGACCATTGCAAAGAAGTTAGATTTATCTTCTGGTACCATTAACACACTAAAAAATAGGGAATTTAAATTAACGAAAGCTCAAATGCTAAGAGTATACACGCTTCCAGCTAAACTGTTCTTATAAAGTGCAGTTAACTTCATTACTTTCTGTAGTAACAAAAATATGTATACAATTCAGTGTCTAGTATGATTTAATTGCTGTATTGAAGCTGTGTTTTGTCTATGATATAATTTTTATTAAAATTATTACTTTACAATATATGTATGTATAGAAATCAAAACATTATTTTACTGGGACATTTTCAGAACCAATGGAGGAAGAAAGAATATTTGAGTCATCTTCATTTGATTCTGCACAAATTGTTGGGAAACGGGACAATTTCTGTGATTCCCTGTCGGATCTGAGTTACCAACAAGATAGCATTTTTCCTTTTGCCCTTGAATCAGATGGCCTTCCATTTTCAGATGACATAAACAGTTTCATTGCTAGTGTAACTGTGCCCCCTCCTCCAACAGAAAGTAGCACTGAAGATAACTTGGCATATATAAATAGCCATGAAGACCTTTCCACTTTAATCATTCCTCCTCCACCCAGTTCAGATCTAAGCACACTACTTGAAGATGAGGTAATTGCTCGTTTCCATCAGGCTACTGCTGACATGCAACGAATGTTCTCTCAGAATAATAATCCTGATACTGAACAAACAGAAAAAAAAGGACAGAATTGCTTTTTCGAAGAACAAGACTATAACATTTTAGAAGTCAGCCTGAAAAATTCTTCAATAGTAGCAACATCACAAGAATACAATAAAATACTCCAAAGTCCTGTCCGTGCTAGTAGCACTAATGTATCATCAGTCAATCAGCTTTCAACAGTTCTTCCTGATCCACCAGAATGCACTATAGAGGGAGATTGTCATGGAAGTGACTCATCAGGTTATGAGACCCAGACTTCTTCACTGGCATCATACAGTGAAATGCTGTTGAGAGATTTTCCTGTTTATCAGAACCTGCATGAAGATCCTCATACCTATGCAAATTTGGAGTTTACATCAGACCCTGATTATGTGAACGTGAAGTGCTCAGAAAACCCAACCTCTAAAGAGAATCATCTGTTTAAAGAATGTGTGTCTGATTATGAAGAAGTCTATTTTCAATTGATGCCGGAAGTTATGGCCCATGGGCTAGGTGCAAGTGATACCATTCATCAGCCTCCTAAAGCTCCACCCAGAACCAAAAAACTAAACCACAATTTTCTCCCTATAAAGATGCAGACAGAAGCATTTCACAGTGGGAGTTGTGATGATATCCAAACCAGCACTAAGAAAGAAGACATAACTGGTGATGACTTATCCAGTATTGTTCGTTCTCAGTCACTAATCAACCTGTATAGTTCTTGGAATCCAACTTCTTCTACAGACAGTATTGTCAAACCACTGTTGCCACAAGCTGCTTCTCTTACTCCGGTAGGTGATGTGTAGGTATTTGATCTCACTTCTTCTTCTGTTTTTTTTAATTAATAAATAAAAGTTTGAAATAAGAATTAAAATTGTGGTTTTATACAGCCAAAAAAATAAATGTTATTTTGTCTTTATACAGATTATAACACCAAAAAGGTTGATTAAAAACAAACTGATTGAACCTAACTTCAAGATAGAAGAATTAATTTGTTTAATTTTTCAGGATTATAAGAAAAGAATAACCAGAAATCAAAGTGACCAGAAAATGAACATTCCATGCCAAGTAAATCCATCCCACTTTAAACACTGGAGCAAACAATTCAAGTCAGCAACTCTGGGCAGAAAAAAGTACCATGGAGCAGGGTGGAGAAAGATAAATGGATTCACTAGTGATTCACTGCATAACAATCTTAGCCATTCCCTAGAAGATGGGATTTTCATGGATGATATTTCAGAAATGCTGATTCTAGCTGCTCCTTCTCACTCTTATCTAGCAGGAGACATTGGTGATACCTTGTTGCTTGGTAATGCATCAGTATGCTCCAGGGCAATGGGACTCCAAAATTGCATTTCTCCACTGAAAAGTAGCAGCTCTAACTCCCTTATGAATCCTAGAGACATTCCAGTCAACAGTGTTAGTAGTGCTTTAGAAAATAGTGTTGACAGTACATTTCTGGAGTCTGAGCAAGGAGGAGATTATCACCAGGCTCAACATGAAATTGCTCTTATGATATTGCATCTGGAGGATATTTGTCACGCGTATGTTAAAAATGCTGAGACTAGTGTATCTGACATAAACAAGTTCATTGCTGCCAAAGAAGCTCTAATAACAGAATCTCGTCAGTTTGTAACAGCTTCTAAGTTATTTGTGAAAAGTGCAACAGGGTCATCAGATCAAATGATAGAACATTTGAATACTTGTGTTGCACTACTTGATCGCATTTTTACAGTCACCGAATTAGTTATCACTCAGATGGTGTCAGCAAACTTGATAGCATGTTTATTTGAAAAACTAAAAGATGTAGCAATAGCTTATGCACGGACTGTTAGTGCTGCCCACCAGACTGTTGGGGAAGTTATCCTAAATTCTCATTTAGGCATCCTCATGCATGAAGCTACCTCACTTGCTTCTGCCTTGACATCACTTATGCGAACATTGAGATCATTCAACAGTCCATAAAGTGGATTACTAAACAACCTCTTATCTAACTTTCATATAAACAAAAAGTTTTAGCCTAGGTCTTCCAATACACCACAATCATAGCTGTTGTTTTTTATTGGTTTTGTTTTTACCTGGCACTGAATGTATTTGCAAGGTTTTTGAATACATTTAGAACTTTGTTCCCATTTATTAATGAAACATTTACTCAGAGTGCACAGACATGGTGAAACTCTTCATTTAAGCATTTTGGAACAGTATTCATTAAAAGTTGAAATAGGTTTTAACATCTTGAAACTAAAATTGTGGCTTTTTACTTTACTTGATGGATTCACTGAATTTCTTCCTAAATTGCAAAAGCAAAGGAGTTGCACTGAGTTACAGTAAAATAATATAATACATATTTCATCATTCATTCCAAAGGATCATTTTTGGATTGTCACATATAGAATTCAGCTAATAATCTTTAAACATTTCAAATTACTTTGTCACACATTTTGATAATCAGAGTTCTATGAGAATAACTTACTTGAAATTTAGTTGAAATTTCTTTTTTTTATAAAGCAATAGTAAAGGAAAACTTCTTTAATAATAGTAACATAGAAACTTATAAATACAATTTAAGCCATAGTTTGACACAAAATCTATTAAATAATTTCAGATTGAATTTTTATAATACTGAATATAAGATGGAGTTTTATCATAGGCACTAAAATTATAAAATTCTTTTCAGTTTACACTTTTCCTGGTTGAATGAATTGTTCTAAGATTTTAATATAAATTTAATTAACTTTCAAAATATACAGAAACTGCATGTAAAATGAATTGTGAAAAAAATTGTGATGAGCTGTTATTGACTATTTCATATACTTCATTTCAGTGTCTACCCATGCAGTACTAATCTCGCACCATGTTGTAATGATCTTTCTTTGGCAACTTAACAAATGTAATAGTAACAATTTTCTAAATATTTTTTTCTTCTGTGAACTTTTCAGAATATGGTTTTATAAGACTGACTTTGTTACTCTTAAAGTCAAGGCTGCATAAATGTTTACTTTAACTTACTTTTAAAAACCATAATCATATTCCATATTTTTATAACCAAGAAAATCTTATTTTTTAATATGAAAACATATTTTTTTTATATTTCTACATGATTAGTTTAATGTTAAGAGCATTTATGGCAAAAAATATTTTGTTAAGTAATGAATCCTTTTATGAGCTACTAAACAATATTTTGTTACATTTTAGACCATGTTTTTCAATCGAAAAACAGTTGGTGTAAATCATGTGTTTTTTATATAACTAGTTATTTTTTAAAACATCGATCTTATTTTAATTATTCAGAATTACATATTGCAGAAGATGATTATTTTGTTCCAAGTTACATTTTTTGCTAAGTTATATGTTTAATTGGGAAATGGCTTAATCTTTCAGTTTTGGTAACTATTAAACTCTTACTGTTTACACAAGAACAGAAGCAGAATGTTCATGACTAACCAAGAGCTGGAAGAAGAATTTCAAAAATTGTGTGTATTTTGTACCTATAAATAGAATATACCAAAGATAAAATTTGGTGGGGTATATGCATCTTGTTACAAAATATTACTTACTCGTCAAATATTTTGATAAGGCTGCCACAAGGTGGAGTTTTGTAAAAGCTGCACAGGAACAGATATTAATCTCATCTTTATTGCAGCGTATAAAGTGTTGTAGCTGCATAGAAAGGTCCAACTTGTTAGCACAACCTTGTATGTAATGTTGCTGTGTTTGTATTAATCTATATCTAATTCTTAGATAAGCATTTTTTCTTTGTAAATACAAATCCAACATTAGATACCTATTTATTGTGAGTAGAAAGCAGGATCACATTTTTGTCCAGAATATGTATGGTATGTAAAGTCAAAGAAACCCACAGTTGACAAGATCAGTGTACTTTTATTATAAAATTTATAATTCATTAAACACTTTGATATTATTATGTATAATGTGAATTTCTAGACCTGAATCAAATTCCACACATAAAAAACATAAAAATATGTCTTTATAACTGATTTTTTTTTCTTTATAATGATAGTAATAAGTCAGTATTTTTACTAAGTTACTCGTAAGTGATTCCAACATGGTACACCATAAAACCTGTTCATACAGTACTTTTTACACAAAGAAGCACTTAAATCTTGTGTTACATAAATCTTCAGAAAAACCAGTTCTGTCACTATAAGACATAAGTTCACATATGGTATAACAGTCTGTCATAACCCCAAGCATTGTTTTATGTTCACTTCTTTTCATTTGTCGTCTAAAGCTATAGCAAATCTTTATTTTATCACTGTTTACACAACTAAATGTCATTTTCTTGCTTGTTTATTATTAAAAATTATATTGTTTAAAAATATTTTTCCAGTTTTTGATATTGTATGTTGATACAGCATAACAAGAGAGTCAAGTTAACATGACTGTATTTTACTCTACATGAGTTCACTGGTTAAATATAACATATACCTGAAGCAAAAACTGAATCACTCATTTATCTAATTCAGACTGCAGCAGGTTCACAAAACAATGTTTAGTATATAATATACAAACTGCTAGCAGCTAAGTAAAGTGATAAGTATCTTTTGATTGTCTTTTAAAACTCTTAAGGTATTATTCAGTTGTATTTTTCTTGAATTATTTTTCCCTACATAAGTTACAAAAGTAATCCTACTAATATAAAGATTTGCTTTTATTCATGATTAAAACAAAACTCTGCTTTTTCCAAGCTTGTTTACTAAACAGTTCAAGCAACCAATATCTCATATGTATGATGATGTTTTTTTAATGCTGATTTACCTAGCTTGTTTCATACAGATTGTGAATGTATGTTGAAACTGGGCAATGTGAGAACCAGAAGAAAGGTCTACTCAACTGTAGAGTATGTGATCTAACAAAATCAGTTTTGTTCGAATTTAAAATGTTACTGAAGTTTAAGGAATGCTTTTGGTCACTCATTAAACGAGATTGATTCAAAATAGCAAATTACAAAACAAACCTATATGTAATACAATAAAGTATGAAATAATTAATATTTTAAGTGTACAAACATTTCATTTCCATTATATCTCATGCTTGAAAATTATTATCTACTAAAATTGTACAGAAGGAAACATCAGTACCAATTTCACCTTCACAATTAGTTATTTAATTATGTTTAATGCCCTTAACACTTATTGTCAGACGTGCCTGTTTGCAAAAGGATTAGAATTAATACTTCACTGCCAGAACTATACTGATAACTGAGAACTTGCTTGTTATATAGCTTTATCAGGGTAGAATTGGAAATCTTTGACTAGCACACACATCTGTCTAACCTATGTGTGTGTGTAACACTGTCTGTACCATTACTTAAGCATTACAATTTCCAGTCTACTCAAGACAGATAAGATCAAGTGGACCCTCAACCTGACTACAAACAAAAGTTCCAAATGGGTAAGTTCAGTGGAAATATGTAATTCTTGTATGCATATAGGACATACAGAAACAACTAATTCCATTCCTCCAGACTTTCGTAAGTTGAAGTCCTTAAAATGGATTTCAGTGAAGCATTGAAGATCTCAACAAATCCATCACACTGAGGGGGATAGACAGAATATTAACACCTGTTTTTTACCACAGCTGTATGTTAAGAGCAGAAATAAATCTAATTACTATGATCAGTTAAAATAGTAAGGGGGGAGCATAGTCTTATGATCAGCACATCAGATATAGTTTCTGTATCTTTAGAATGCCACTTAGGGGAAGGAGGTCGTGGTCTGTAGACACCAAATTAAATAGTTTCATATCACACATTACTATATTTGTTATCTTCATATGAGTATGGAAGAAGGTCAACAATGACCTTTTAAAAGGTGCATCTATCAATGGCTTACATTATAATGGAAAATTGATATTATATCCTCCTACCATTTGACAATTCAAACATGAGTAGCCATATTATATTCCCTTATATCCCCAACTAAAGAAAGTAGTGTAAAAGCTTTTGAAGAAATTTACTGATGTCAAGGTTACTTTCCATGGGCTATTCTTGAACGAATATAGTTAGCTACAATTTCTGGGAACTAATATTTCTATGTTAAGTTGATGACGGTGATATTATGCTTCCATAAGTCCTATTAAGTAAAACCAAAAGATCTTTAAAGAAATCAAATTAGACACAGTTGTTGCTGCATTTTTGTAACAAATTTACAGTATGTAATTCTTCTGCTAAAATTTCATTTCTTATTGTCCATTTATAGTATTCTGTGATGATACTGACTAAATAAACTTTTAATTTGTTGCTTCATGAAACTAACACAATAGGACATTTACTACCATTAAGACTAATACATGCTATTTATTCTTTTGTCACGTTTCACCAGTAATATACCCAATTTTAGAACATAAATGAGAACTTCTGGCACTTAATCTTACTTGCTCTTCTAACATTCTGTTTCTCACTAAATAGTTTCCCTTAGTGGTTTAAACCATTTTTGGCCTTAGCAAGAAGTTTGTATTCTGGTCAGTATGCTTCATAACTTGTGCTTTTAAGTAGCTGGATGTCTTGTCAGTACATCATGCATGAAAATTGTTAATAACTGATTATGGCATTTTTACTAAAGGTATTAATTCCTTTAGTTTTTCTGCCATGTAGGATGTATATGAATTGATTATAGTAGGCAAAATGAATTCGAGCTATCTTTCAAAAATGAGTAATTATGGCAATACTAAATTGTATAAACAGCCCTAGCTTTAATTTCCATAGTTGGAGGAGCAAATGAAGCCAGAATAACAATAACTTGCACTTTAACCAATACAAAGATCTCAGATTCAAAAAATTAATGTTAATTTGGTGGATTCTCCACATCAACACCCATTTCCTTAAGAAACCTAAAACATTTTCATTTTATAATATTACCTGAAATTAAAATGTTAAACTGTCTGCAAATAAAGTAATGTTCTGGACCAATAAAACAGTATGGTTAGGCTATGAATGAAATGCAAATAAAATTTAATTAGTTCTATCATTAAAATGTTATATGGTGTTAAGGAAGTCAAAATTACTGAATTACTCTCCCAGGAATTCTAAAAGAGAATAATGGAAATTCAAACCATTCCTCATCTTTTGTTTTTTGTATTTTTACTTTGAAAATTAATATTAAATTACTAAAACACCTATCTGATTCATTATTCACATTCTTATATTGTTTTTATTGCTAATTTCTGTTAAGTATTGGAATTAGATACAATTTCTGTCAGTATTTTTAATAACTGGCTGAAGCATGTGGAAGTGCTTGTTTTAAATTTGACATAAATGTGGCATTTCTAGATTAGAACCTTTTTCAACTGTGTGTATAGATGAGAAACACATTTTAATGATTTTCTAGGATAAAACTTCTCTCGGTGGTACTTAAACAAGAATCTCATTTAAATGAGAATCTTCAATAACAACCAAATAAGAACTGTTTCAATGGTGTTTAAACATAAGAACTTTTCTATGATGTTTCAGTGAAAATTTCCTTAATGATGTCTGAATGATACTTCAATAATGTCTTTAGAAAATAACCTTTTCAGTGTTGTTTTATATTAGTCTTGAAAGGTGTCTAGATGAGAATCACTTCAATTATGTATCTAAGAGGTTTCTTTAGATAAGAACCTATTCAATAATGTCTTTAGATAACTATTGGTGTATCAGAAAGAAAATCTCCTCAATGATGTCTTTAATTAAGAACCTCTTTAACTCTATTCTCAGATAAGAACTACTTCTTCAGTGATTTTCTGGATGACTCTTTCCTCTAGTCTATCACTTCAAAATTAGGGACGGCTAGTCCAGATAGCACCCGAAATTCAACAAACAAGCTTAAAACCGTGCATAGGTATAAAGATGTATGTGCATTTTTGAAAATAATTTTCAGCAACAATATAAAAAAAGTCTAAATATGTATTTAAATATATTAATCAATAATTTTAGGATATAGTGTGCTTGTCTTCTCAGCTTGTAATAAGCTACGGGCCAGAGAAGAGGGTGAATAATAGATATGGGTGAGCAGTTTTGTCTCTTCTGGAAGGAAATGAAACTTTATTAACAGCTATCGTATTATTTATATATATATATATATATATATATATATATATAATATCACTTATTACTAAACAAAATTATTATATTAAATGGTCCTTAAACGTTAGATAAAGGGGTTCGGTTGACTGCAAATCAGGGGAGCTGGTTATGTCCCACGAACCGCCTTGGGAAGGTTACACTAACAACGCATGTGAACTGACAAATTTGTTCTCTCAGTTCACGTGGGATGGCTTACGAGATCCGTTGGAAAAATAAAACGAAAGTAATAGTCTAACACTAAGTATGCTATCTCGTAATGCCATATTGCTGCTGTAACACAGACTTTAAGCTTGTTTGGGATTTTATTATTTTTATAGCCTCTTTCATGCTTTAGTACAGTATAAAGACGAAATACTCCACAATACGTTCAACACACGCAAGTTAATTTATCGTGGTAGGATATGTAAATAGAGAACTAATAAGCAGCGATAAAACTCTACTTGAAGAATTGTGTGGTATTCTCAGTTTCCTTGATTTTCTTTCCATTAATCGGATATGATCCGCAAGATAAAGTTCAATAGACATTGTATTGCAGAGTTAAACTGCATTCTCTTGGTTTGACTAAATTTATAGTAATGAAATAGACTGGAGATAATGTAAAACAGTGAAAAAGTGTTTATCCAATATAAAACAATAAAAAAACAAGTATGTGGACGAAGGACAGCACGTTTACATAAGGCAGACATTCCCAACCTGGGGTACATTTACACTACTTAGGGAGTAGAGTATAACTATGGTTTGCACTTTACATGATGTTTTAATCTACGGTCATACAAGAGAGTAAAGTAACTCGCACAAATATACGCTCTTATGACAAAAAGTTGTGATGTTATTGCTGT